ATTTCCCTAGCTTTTATATACTAGATTTTGAGTTGGCCCAATCGTGGGTTGTATTGATTTTGAGTTGGGAATCAAAATCCTACACTCATACAATGAAGGGAATAATGGAATTTTATGCTAAATGATTGTTCTGGGAGTTGTAGTTATCTCCACCACTTTCCCAAGATTTAGGCATTATTTGATATTCCTAAGGATTGTCTACAATATCAATTCTCCAACAATATACAAATAAGTGAGACACAACTTCCGAGCTCAGCTAACTAGCCACTTATAGGCTTAACAGTTTAGCAAACTCTTTGTTAAAGGTCTATGCATGGTTAGTCTGTTCACAGTTAGACTGTGTGACCCGGTCGAGGTAGTAGGTGGCTCCAACCAGGAGGAGCAGGTATCGTGAGGGGGGAGCCAGCTGGAGAGGACGTTGTTGGGGTCGGAGGGGACCATGTGCTTGAACATTAGGAGTGTGGTTGCATATGTCTTTATAGAATGTTGGAATTGCTCCTGGAACGATAATGACTAGCAAGCCATAATTGTTCCCGCAACGAAGATGACTACCAAGCCGTTGAGCCAGTGTTCAAGAAGACGCGATTAATCTCTCGCCTAGGCGCGATTAATAGCTGGGCAGGAGGAAATCGCCTCGTCTAGCCTTGGGTGATTGATCTAGGCACCTAGGCACTCTGAGGCGCATTTTCACTCTGGTGGGCGACGCCCAAAACAACTAATAAAGAGGGAAGTGTAGCCTTTTTGTGAAAATCCCAAACCCTATTCTATTTCCCATTTCCATTCGACCAACCGCTCCCCCTCATCGACCAACAGTGAGATCCCTCCTCATGGTTGGCGACTTGGGATGTTTGGGATTGTGGAAAAGGGTTGTATGTGTATATGAATGGATGAATAATGATATGGTGACTTGGGTTTTTGTAGAATATGGCTTATCTATCATATTTTTTTTCAACGTTTAATCTTGCCTAGGCAACGACTAATCGACCTGGGCCCTGGGCGGTGCCTCTTCGCCTAGATAACGCCTAGCATCTTCTTGAACATTGCGTTGAGCCGCAGTAGGAGTGGGTTAATGTCCATGGAGGAGTAGTATTATGAAAATGCAGGGGTATCGAAAGGAAGGTGGAGGCAGAGTGAGTTTGGAAAATAGAGATGGAATGCATGTCAAATGAGGGTATATTTTTTTGAAAGGAAGGGGTTGGAAAAGCAATCATTAGGAGGGAACTTTCAGAGTTAGTGAAAGCGGGGATGATAATAATGTGTAGTCATGATATTGCAAATGCAACTATTAATTATTATAAAAGGTGAATATAGGAGCAGCGAAGTGGAATGATAAGGACGGAATGTGCAGCTATAGTAATGCGTAATCATCAGCATGATCAAAGACAAATAGAAAGATCTCACAAGACGGATAAAGGTAGAAAAGATAGATACCAAGCATGCCAGTGCCACTACCATTTGTCAAACTCACTCACTCACTCACTAACAATAAACTTTCTGTTCTGAAAAATTGTACTCAGGGAAGGAGAATACTTGGAGAATGCTCCAGCAGCTTAGCAGTAGAAGAAGAAAATCAGGATTGACTTACTTACAGTGAGGTGGAGAATGAATTGTGGAAGGAGGGAGGGAGAGGTGAAGCAGAAGACTTGCTAGAGGAGGAGAAAGAGCCGCCAGCAGCCCCCAACATTTTCTTGGCTACTCGCTTGACCTTCGAAGATCTGGTACATCCTCTCATCACTGATTCTGCTGTTGTTTCTGTTTTTTAAGAATGAATGAAATGGAATGCAGCAGAAGAAGAAGAAGAAGGAAAGATGAGTTGTTCTGGCGGTTTAGGTTATTGCAACTGAAAATTGGGATGGGGTATATATTATATCTATTATAGAATGTCTGCAAGTTCTGAAAGATACAGTGCGAGGTGATGACGACCTAAATTTTATAAAAGGCCCACAGTTTCTCCATTAGCCAGTCTGTCTTTCATGTGGAATATTTGGTTGATCATTGTGCATGTTGCTTTTTCCAATTGCAAGGTATTTCTTCGCTCTAATTTTGGTGAAGAATTTTAAAAGTTCATGAAGAGTTTACATAGGGCTTGAGTTGACTCTTTAGTCTTATGCTCGGTATATTATCATTATGATTGTAAGTTGCCTTGCATAACAAGATATCTAAGTTTTTAAACAAAAATATGCTACTTGCTTTCTCTATATAATTTTTAATTGTTTTCATTAACACTATATTGTTTTAAATATACTAAACACAACTAAATCTCCTGTGGCGTAGCCACGGGTATTAATACTAGTACAAATAACAGAGGCTTTTAGTCGTTTGCCATATAAACCAAACTTTTTGGCTAAGGTAAATATATCAATGTGGTTTGCGTAGAAGACTTCTTACTTAGCATGGTTGTGTTCAACTGCTTACTCCATAAACCTTATACACTAAGTAGTTGGGGGAATTTGTTTACACCTAAAAAGTACTCTTGTATTACATTGATTATTTACAAGGCATTAATCTATACACAATATTATGGCAATTGAAAATTAAATTTTTGTCACATAAGCACTTGGAGAGATCTCAAGTTGTCAAGCTGGACAATATTTTTTACCAAAAAAATAGTTATTGACCTATTTATTGAGTTGTCCCTCTGTCTTCATTTAATATTTAATTATCTTTTATCCAATAATTATTTTGCTTTTGTTTTTGCATTATATCTATAAATAATATATGGAGAGAAAGGTTATCAAACCGGTTTAGCAAGTGGAATGGTTTTACCAGTGGTACAACCGGTTTGTATCGTTTCATGCCGGTTAATAAAATATGTAGAAATATAAAGAATTATTAATATAAAATGAATTTAATCATATGTAAACCATATTTGAAGACAATTTACGTACAATTCATATTGATATTTGAAAAAAATAGTTATTGAGCTATTTATGGAGTTATCCCTCTCTCTTCATTTAATATTTAATTCTCTTTTATCCAATAATTATTTTGCTTTTGTTTTTGCATTATATCTATAAATAATATATGGAGAGAAAGCTTATCAAACCAGTTTAGCAAGTGGAATGGTTTTACTAGTGGTACAACTGGTTTGTATCGTTTCATGTCGGTTAATAAAATATGTAGAAATATAAAAATTATTAATATCAAATGAATTTAATCACATATAAACCATATTTGAAGACAATTTATGTACAATTCATATTGATATTTGAATAAAATATGATATTTCAAATAAAATTACATGTACTCATACTTAAATTCACTAAAACTACGTAATTTACTTATAAATTCGTAAAACGATCATACCGGTCATACCGATGGTGTCATGTCGATTGCATGACCGGTACCAGTTCAACTGGTGGCATGCCGGCCGACGTGACAATCATGATGGAGAGTGACATATATCATATTTTGGTTTTGCATTATATCGATGTACGCAACAGTATACTAATGTTCGTAGAGTGACATATATATCACACTTTTTAAACCAAAAAATATATGATTAAAGATTACTATGTAAATTTCTGCTCATTTTTACTAAAACTTAATAATAATTTATATTTTAATGAATAATTTAAAAAAATACACAAAAATAATAATATTTTGTCGATAAGGTCCGAAAGAAACTTGACCAAGAAATAATAATTATTTATTAAAAAAAGCTTTTTATTCATTCTGATCAAGTGAAAACATATGAATCGCATGTGCAGTATTTATAAAGTATCCTAAGTTCACATTACTAATATTTTCTCTAGGTCATGTTGATTGAGCAAGCTCTATTGAGCTCTTACATCATACGATAAGAAATTTTCTTTTCAGACTTGGAGTTATTTATTGTTAAAGATTATAAATTAAAGTTTTCATAATGACTTTAGTATAATAGGTGATGAACTTTGCCTTCATATTCTAGGATGAGACACGACATCACTTGAAAAATGAAATGTGTGAATTTTAAAGAAATCTTTGTTAAGAATGTACGTTAAACATCACATGTCATGCTAAGAAAAATCTAAATTCGAAGATTGAGGTAATAAATAAATATTAATGTTTTACTTCACATATATAACAAAAAACATTTATAGTTACAATAGTATAAACCGAGCTATTGGGTCAAAAGAATAATATTTAATAAATATGATTTTAGTAAGAAAATTGTAACAAGTCTATATAGTTGTGAGTCTGTGATTTCATACGAAATTTTGGAAATAATAAAAAAAATTGATATCATATTCCACCCAAGAAGCTAAGTTCAAAGGTATTAATTAGTGTTGAAAGTAAAATAAACTCTCTGTATATATATGTTTAGATATTAACAATAGATGTGTCTACAATACATCCAATCATTTAAATACACATGAAAATCCAAAATGTTTGTATGAACTTCTAAATTTTGCTACAAATATTTTTTTTAAAAATTATAAGTTAATTATTCAAGAAATACATAATTTTGAATGCACCTGAAATATTTGTCGGTCGTATACACACTTTACCAATTATTAATATAAGTAATGAAATTTTGTTTTAGAACAAACACCAAATATAAAGAAATTATAGCGAATGGACATTCAAATAGTTAAAAATTTATACATTGAAGGAATATGTTAAGATGAGAACCTTCGATAGTGTATATGAATCATTGGATTCAGATTCTAAACGAACATTTAGACAAAAAGCATGGGTTGAGAGTTAGTACAAACTAAAAATATTAGCAATTGTAATAAGTTGCTATACAAAGACTTCATGAAAATCAACAATAAAAATGACTGACGTTTAGAGAATTTAATCATTTTAAGGGATACGATGTGTGTCAAATTTCAATTGGGATAACCATAATTTATCCAGTAATCAAATATCTTTTTTCAATAATTTGAACTCTGATTAATGAGTGAGAGTTCGTACAAACTCGAGAATCATGAATTGATATATGTTATATAAAATAATAAATTTGAGCGTCTTAGTGGAAAATTTTTTATATACGATCCTAAATGGGACATGATAAACCTTTACAGCATGATTTATGATCAGAGAATAAAAACATCACAAGCGAGTGTGCTAACTATTAAATATTATTCGATATAGACATACTACATTTTCACTTATGAAGTGAGAGCAGAAAATGTATACAAGATCCAAAACGTTCAAAAAATGTAAATAAGTTAACTAATATAAATAATAAAATCAACTTCTCCGGCCAACTGGCCGAGTAGAAAACTAGTTGTCTTTATAAGGCCTGATCAAGCATGATTTGCTCCGGTACTGCCTGAACCCATAATAAATCTCTTAAGAAAATGTGCGGAACAAGATCATGAGGGAGCAGCAAGCACAAACCTTTTCAATTCTAGCTATAGTGATTGGTTGGTGTTTGTGCTTGGAATGTACCAAGCGGTTAAGTGAAGCTCCACGGGCTCGGGCGGTTTCCAATGGCGGCGAGCGGTCTTCGAAACCTACAGGAAAGGTCCTCAGGGGATTCCTGGGACCTCCTCCGATGCCTAAGTTAGAGAGAGGATTGAGAGAATTGTAAATAAGAGAGAGAATGGAGTAGTTGAAGTTACCATAAATGTGATCCTATGAGGGGTATTTATACTAGTTTCGTCCGAGCTATGCGCATTAAATATTATGTCGGGCGCTCTGAGACACCTCTGGATTCCCCAACGTCTTCGTCAGACTTCGTACGTAGGATCCAGAATGTCGGGCGGTCCCTTGACGTCATATCTGTCCCGTGTCGGCCGGTCCCTTAGTACTAGAATCCTTCGGGCCGCCTTTGTTCCTGATCCTCTTTTGGGCCTTGCTTGTTCTTTTGTGGGCCTGAGTGCTTTCTGGGCTTACGGGCCGCGTGGCTCAATGTGTGACCCAACATTTGCCCCTTAGGCGGGAGAAGCTTTAGGTTCTCGCGTCTAACTGACTCGTTTCGTGATCATTGAGTGGGTATGGACCGCTAAGGCCCTTATAAGCGATCAGAGCGGCTTATCGCCGTTTGTCGAACTATACCCCTTTGCCCCTAGTCGCGGGAATATGAAGCTACGGTCGCCTAAGGGGTTGCCCGAGGCGGTTTCCCTGGTCTTTTCGCTTTTTGCCACTTGTCGTTCCTCGGGCGCGGAGCCCTAACACCGAGCGGCGGAACGTCACCGCAGGGTTTTGTGGGGTTCGAGGCATGTCACTTCGGGGATTTTGAAATTCCCCTTCTTCGCTATAAGTGCCTAGGAGGGAGAGCTGCTCCACCCGAATCTTCCTAGTTATAGAAGTTCTTCGTCTTCTTCCTCCTTTTCTTCCGCTGTGTGTGATCAGAGCTTGTCACCGCCGGCGCCTATAAATTTGATCGACGCTCCAGGTATGATTTTTCCACTTTTCTTCTCGCCTTTTGGGTGCGGGTTTTGCTCCTTCATTGGTTTGGCCTGTGTCTTACCTCACTTCGCCTCTTCTTTTGCCGACTTTGGAACCTCGCCGCCGTTCTTCGGCGATCAGCCTTGTTCCAAAATGGCAGGCGATGATTTGAATTCTCCCTCCGTCGTCGACGCTCACGACGCTGCGGCCCGGGGGAGCGCTCCCGTCGTTGTTTCCCCCTCCGTTATCGTCGCCGATAGGGTTCCCCTTAGTTCGACTGCTCCGACAGCGGTCCCCTCAATGGGGAAGAAGCCTGCCAGCGCAGCTGTGGCCGCCTTCACCTCTCAAGGTACGAACCGCTCTTCACCCATTCGAAACACATCTGAGTGTGTATGGGATTTATCTGGGCTAGACTTGTATGTTGGGAATGCCTCTGAGTTAGACAACTGTCTTGTTGGTGAATGTATAGACTTAGATGACTATTGTGCTAACACGCGCCCTGTACCAGTTGGGGTTATGACTACATCTTCGGTCGTGGGGGTTAACTTGGGAGAGTTTGACCGGGTAGGATTAGATAGCATTTCTTCGGAGGAGGACGTAGAAATGAGCAGTGATGAAGTACGCCCTGAGGCGTCTCCTAACACTTCTTACTCTTTGGAGGTGTCAGATTCTGGGGACGCGAGACCGCCCTTGGTGGCTATTCAGGACTCAGTGTACACGGTTTTACACCATGCGGGGATGTGGGATGGAGAGCCGATCCCGGCCGAGGTGTTCGAGCAAGGGCCGAAAAATTCGGGGGCAGCTTTTAAGCCGGAACAGGTGTTGCACCACCTTAAGGCGCTTCGGATGCCCCCGGATTGGCAGTATGCGGCTCCTTCTGAAGTTAGCCGTTCAAGATCTTGCCCTAGTGACTCACTTCTACTGTCACTCCAGGAATTGGCCAAGTGAAACCACTTCCTAAAGTGTAGTATAGCGGGTTTGGGTTTAATTATCAACCCGGGTCCTAGATTTGATGACTACTCAGTGAATTCTTGTTATCTAGCAATGAAACTTTAATGCAAGTCTAAACTAACAAACTAACAAAGCAAGTAAACTGTTGTATTCAGGTTAAGAGAGGTCACCCGGATATGGTTCCCCCTAGACTGCAGTTAAGCCAGATTGTAATTACCAAGTTCAGTTTCTATGATAGTTATACTGCGGAAGGTTCTTAAACAGCCTGAAGTCTCGACTAAAGGTCTTCAGACCCTCTCAATCTGAGTCTCTAGCGAGCGACTAACGTCCACCGGAGTAAACAGATTGAGGCCTTAACAAACAAAACCTCCACTACCGGAGTAAATCCGGTATAGAATAGTGAGTTGGCTCCTCGACTAAAGTCACCAACTCCCTACCTTCAATCAATGATGCTCTATCAACCTAGGCAGATATTCTCATTCTAGGTTAAAGCAGAAACAACAGGAATTTGATCAGGATTCAAGTCATTCAAACCTCAATCGAATATAATCAAATCATAGAATCAGTACTTGGGTTCATACAATCAAAGCCTAACATACAAATCTAGGGTTCTCCATACCCAGATGAATGGGAGAACTATTCCATGGAGAAAGAAGCAAAAGCAGAATCAGACGCGGAATTCATACTGTGAAGGATGGATTCCTGCCCCTGGACGTTGATCGGCACTTCTCCAAGCTCAAACTGGCCTCCAATGGTGTTAAAGATCAATCTAGGGCACTTGGAGACTCTTGTTCGTCACTTTTTCTCTCTAGGAATCGCTCTATCTCTCTCAAAACTCGAATCCCCTTCTCTTTGGCTGAAAATCTGCTTAAAAGGGCATCAGTGGCCAAAGCACGGTCGAGGGCACGGCCGTGTAATGCCTCAGCCCGCCCGTGCTTTGGTTAGGGTTAATTACACGGCCAGTGCATTGGGAGAAACACGGGCGTGTTTGATGATGGACACGGCCGTGCTTTGTCTAAGCCATGCCCGTGTTTTTAGCAATGTTTGCCAAACTCGAATTTGCTCTCGGCAGTAAAAGCACGGCCACAGAACACGTCCGTGTTCTGTTTTAGGTGTGCCCGTGTTTTGGCTCCAGCTTGACGAAATGACTTCCGAATGCCCCAAAACTCGTGCTTATCCTTTCCTTTGACGCCTGGGACCTGAAATATGACAAAATAGCACAACCCGGCGTAAAATAGGCCAAAATACACGACTATGCCTCTCAAACGGATAAGAACTAGGGGCGCAAATATGTGCAATTACATCGTTATCAAATTCCCCCACACTTAACCGTTTGCTTGTCCCCAAGCAAACCAAGTCAGACACAAGGTAAGCTCAAAACAACAAGGCATGACATATCGGCACAAAACACGTGGATCATACTGGCTTTCGATCAGTAACACATGGACAACTTCAATGACAACCTAGACAACCACCACAGATGACATTCGAATGCAGTAAAATCGAACAAAGGAAGAGTCTCCCTTCTGTTCACCAACCAACATAGACTTGACTCAACCACTTGTTCAAAACAGTCACATCATGCACAAGGTTCAAGATATCAGAATTAAGACCGAGCAATCTAGGTCCTCATCGGGATAAAGAGTGTAGAGAATAAGAGAAAATGAATCGCTCACTCTCGACCAGTGGGGTCAGGACAATATGATGCGAAAAATGCGCATGCTTAATCTCTCAATCCCTAACATCTCTTCATCATGAATGCAGCCTCGAAGTGCTAGAGTTCACATATGGGGTGTCATCACTAACTAATCCGGAGGTCTTAGACACAGGTTCAGATGACTGGCTAGGGTCTTGGACATGGGGAAAAGGCCTTTTAGGTGGTGGAAATATTCATACAGCACAAGGTTCCACATTCCCAAACCCAACAGACTCACAATCAATCAAACCAATAACTTTCTGTCTGCTATTCTGCATTACTCAAGTTCAAAGCACAAGAGCGAAGGAGGTTACATAAATGCTAGTATTTCTAAGCCAGACTGCTAAGAAACACTACTACATGGGCATTATTCAGATTTTTGGTGGTGGCTCTCTTTTGCTTTCATTTTTTCTTTGAATTTCTTTCATTATTTTTCATTTCATAAGTGAACCACCGCCTCTGCACATTGTCAAACACCTGCCCAACTTTTAAGCACTACCTCCAACCCTCACATTACATTTAGCAGAAACAGCAGAGAACATGTAAAAATCACTCTGTGGAACCTTCTAGAAGATGCAGAAGGGTGACTTTTCATTGAAGACCGAAAGAAAGAAAAACACACGGCTCAAAGGGGCTGACTAGGGGTATGACACACCAGGACAGTCAATTTGGTCGTGGGCTAATCCTATGCCTCCATCATCTTAGCTAATGACAACGTGAATGCTGCACATCATGGAAGAGGAAACTATTGCACAAGAAAGAAACGAGCAGGCTCAAATCTCACATGGCTACCTATATGCTCTATCTCTCGTTCTGATTCCCTGAACTAGATGCATAAATGACTGTCAAAAGCAAGTGATCAAACGAAGTCACATTTGCTGAGCAGACAGTTGAAAAACTGAATCCCTACACAATTCTACTGCACATCTCAGTCATCACAATAAGTTGTCTAAGTCGCACTCAAGTTGTCATGTATCAAGTCAAAAGCCATTTAGTTCACTAATCACATCCACAGTGCCAATACGATCAATCATCAAGCAGACAGCCATGCTTGGAGCCCTCAAATCTCAAGATTTGGACAGTGGACTAGGCTCCAAGCACACATATATACGTTCCAATTCATACAAAGAACCCCCCCACACTTAAACGCGACAATGTACTCAATGGAGCAGAGGGAAGGGGAACGATGGTACCGTGAAACAGTGGTCAGGAACGTTGACTGGATGGCGGACCAGTCAAAAGAAGGAGGCACAGAGCTAGAGACAACAAAAACACACACTGGGTGATAGGAATCAGAGTACCAAGTCTACAATCCAAGATAAAAAAAAATAAAACAAAACGAAACCACAAAACACGGAGTCTCAGTCTGGAAAACAAATAAAGCACAAAACCCGCTCTAGAAGGCATCACCACCATCGCCGGTGGGTGGAGGGTACTCATCCTCAAACCCTGGGGACTGCACGAACGGGTAGTGGACCGCGTTCGGGTCCAAGCCCAAGTAGGACATGATGTAGTGCTGCCCCGACATGAGACGACGACCTCGGTCCCACTCACGATCAAGGCGGGTGTGGATGCGCTCCTAGCCGGCCAGGATGCGCTCATTCTGCTGCGCGATCGCCGCCAACTGGTCGGAGATGGGCACCACCACTGGAGGAGGTGACCCTGGAGAAGGAGACCGGGGAGCAGGAGAGGGGCTCGCGGGAGCCTGGGCACGACGGGGAGCGCGACTGGGAACTCGGGAGAGTTTGACCGGGTAGGATTAGATAGCCTTTCTTCGGAGGAGGACGTAGAAATGAGCAGTGATGAAGTACGCCCTGAGGCGTACCTAGCACTTCTTCCTCTTTGGAGGTGTCAGAGTCTGGGGACGCGAGACCGCCCTTGGTGGCTATTCAGGACTCTGTGTACACGGTTTTACACCATGCGGGGATGTGGGATGGAGAGCCGATCCCGGCCGAGGTGTTCGAGCAAGGGCCGAAAAATTCGGGGGCAGCTTTTAAGCCGGAACAGGTGTTGTACCACCTTAAGGCGCTTCGGATTCCCCCGGATTGGCAGTATGCGGCTCCTTCTGAAGTTAGCCGTTCAGGATCTTGCCCTAGTGACTCACTTCTACTGTCGCTCCAGGAATTGGCCAAGTGAAACCACTTCCTAAAGTGTAGTATAGCGGGTTTGGGTTTAATTATCAACCCGGGTCCTAGATATGATGACTACTCAGTGAATTCTTGTTATCTAGCAATGAAACTTTACTGCAAGTCTAAACTAACAAACTAACAAAGCAAGTAAACTGTTGTATTCAGGTTAAGAGAGGTCACCCGGATATGGTTCCCCCTAGACTGCAGTTAAGCCGGATTGTAATTACCAAGTTCAGTTTCTATGATAGTTATGCTGCGGAAGGTTCTTAAACAGCCTGAAGTCTCTACTAAAGGTCTTCAGACCCTCTCAATCTGAGTCTCTAGCGGGCGACTAACCTCCACCGGAGTAAACAGATTGAGGCCTTAACAAACAAAACCTCCACTCCCGGAGTAAATCCGGTACAGAATAGTGAGCTGGCTCCTCGACTAAAGTCACCAACTCCCTACCTTCAATCAAGGATGCTCTATCAACCTAGGCAGATATTCTCATTCTCGGTTAAAGCAGAAACAATAGGAATTTGATCAGGATTCAAGTCATTCAATCATTCAAACCTCAATCGAATATAATCAAATCATAGAATCAATACTTGGGTTCATACAATCAAAGCCTAACATACAAATCTAGGGTTCTCCATACCCAGATGAATGGGAGAACTACTCCATGGAGAAAGAAGCAAAAGCAGAATCAGACGCGGAATTCATACTGTGAAGGATGGATTCCTGCTCCAGGACGTTGATCGGCACTTCTCCAAGCTCAAACTGGCCTCCAATGGTGTTGAAGATCAACCTAGGGAACTTGGAGACTCTTGTTCGTCACTTTCTCTCTCTAGGAATCGCTCTATCTCTCTCAAAACTCGAATCCCCTTCTCTTTGGCTGAAAATATGCTTAAAAGGGCATCAGTGGCCAAAGCTCGGTCGAGGGCACGGCTTGTAATGCCTCAGCCCGCCCGTGCTTTGGCTAGGGTTAATTACACGGCCAGTGCATTGGGAGAAACATGGGCGTGTTTGATGATGGACACGGTCGTGCTTTGTCTAAGCCCTGCCCGTGTTTTTAGCCAATGTTTGCCAAACTCGAATTTGCGTTCGGCAGTAAAAGCACGGCCACAGAACACGGCCGTGTTCTGTTTTAGGTGTGCCCGTGTTTTGGCTCCAGTTTGACGAAATGACTTCCGAATGCCCCGAAACTCGTGCTTAGCCTTTCCTTTGACGCCTGGGACCTGAAATATGACAAAATAGCACAACCCGGCGTAAAATAGGCCAAAATACACGACTATGCCTCTCAAACGGATAAGAACTAGGGGCGCAAATATGTGCAATTACATCGTTATCACCTAGCGGCTGGATACCGGGTCTTGTCGAGCGTGTCAAGCTTGGTCTGCGGTTCCCGCTTGACCCTATCCTGACAAAGGTTTTGCACTGGCTCAACTGCACCCTGGGGCGGCATTCACCAACGATTATCTTCCATTCCGTAATGTACCGTCTTGCATGCGACCGCATTAAGGAAGAGCCATCATTTGAGGCGTTCAGATTGATTTACAATATCAAAGATTTTCCCGATTGCTGGTCGATCGGTAGGCGGGAGAATTCAGTTGGCTTTGTCACCGGGGCGCCTAAGCTGGATTCGCCTTGGTACAAAGAGTATTTCTTTGCCCGACCGACCTGGAAGTGGTATGCGGGCGATGTCGAGCCGCCTATGGGCTATGTGGTTGGGTCGAAAGATGATTGGTGTGACTCTAACTTGTTTCCTCAGTCGGTGCGAGACCATGTTGACCGCATTGTGGGAGCGATTCAACTACGAGTTCGCCACAGCGGCACTGACAGCGCCTACCAGCTTGTCCGTGGTTTTTACGATTAATAGCCTAGTTTTTTTACTTTGATGTTTATTTGCTCATGCATTTACTTATGCTTTTCTTTTTTGGGGTTGAGGGAGTTGACGGACCCCAATAGGCCAAGGAGGAAGAAGGCGGTCAAGGCCGCTCGGGCGGGAGCTGCCTCTTCTTCCGCGACGGTCGCTTCAACTGACCCGCCAGCAGCTTCGCCCATTCGCTTAGACGCTGATTCCCCCAGTGCGGCCGAGGGTGGTGCAGTACCCGTGCCACGGGAGGCTGGGAAGAGACTGCTGCAGCAGGAGACGCCTGAAGCAGTTTTGAAGCGTGCAAAGGTTCGCGGCTCCCCTTCAGGGCTGGGGGATTGGCGCGGAAAGGGTGTGAAGCGGTCCGACAAGCCCATCCTGGTGAATGTGCCCCCAATGGCCGCCACCGATATGGAAGCGGCTGAGTTAGCATTTCACACAATCAGTGAGCAACTGGTTATGCCCAACGAGTACACTGCTACCTCCCCGGGAAGCAACCGCCGATTGGCCGGGACCGCCTCACGGTTCTTCTTTGGGGTTAGTTTTCTGCCGCACCTGTAAGCTTGTTGGGTGCACTCATTTTCGCTAACTGATTTCTCTTGTGATCTGTAGGCACAGATTGGGTTTTCCCAGATCGTATTGCTCAATGACCGCCTGTCGAAGGCGGTGGATGACAATGCGGTCGAGATTGCCAACCTTAAGAGGATTCTCGAGGATGGTCGTGTCGCATTGGAGGAGGAGCTGTGTCCTCAACTAGAGAAGGAGTTCAGTGAGCGCTTGGCTCGCAAGGAGTAGGAGCTGTCAGATGAGAGGGAGGCATCGAAGGCGATCAGTACCGAGCGAGACCGCCTCCAGGACTCGCTTCGCAAGTCTGGTGAAATCGAGAAGACCCTCTTGGAGGAGCAGGATGTATTGCGCAAAGAGGTGGACGCTCTTAGGTTAGAGAAGGCTTCCCTGTTAGTTACTCATGAGGCGGAGTTGACCGTGGTGCGCCCCAAGGCGGGACCTGCCTTCCTCAAGTCTGCCGAGTTTCTCGCCCAAGACAAGGCGAAGTACAAAGAAGTGGTCGGCAACGTGGTGGCCGCCATTCGTCACCTATTCCGCGAGGAGTGTCCTGACTTGGGCTGGGATACCGACCGCGTATGGGACGCTATCGGCCACTGGTCTGCCTCCGACGTTAACTCAGAAGCGGATGACTCCGAGGAAGATGAAGCGGGGGGCAAGGAGGAGGCTGAAATTGGTGAGGCTGCCAGTGGAGGTTCTCCAATCATTTGAGACCGCTCTCATATACTCTTGGTCTGGTTTTTCTATCTTTTGTTGGACGATGATGCATCTAAGACATTTTCTTTTGCATGATCTTTTTATTATGTACTTTGGATGATGTGACAACAATTTGCTGGGACCGCGTTGGAGCGGGTTTATGCTATAGCTACATTTTAGTTAAACCTTTGTGTTCTTGCTTTCATTTCGCTTTGTAGCGGGTTTATGTGACTTTGCGTAGATTGCTTGCACGTTTATGGATTGGGAACGAGACACCGTTAAGAATAGAAATTTGGCCGAAAAGAGAATCAAGTGTATTACTTTGGGAAAAAGTGGTGCTTGGTAGCAGCCAATACACTATTACATGTGGAGGAGAACATTCTCTATCCACTCAAAATGCCTTTGCTTGAGCAAAGGGTACCTCAGACTGCGTCTGTGTGGTACTTCCCAAGGTGCATGCCATTCCATGTCTTGGATACGGGAACGCCTTCCATGGTGGCAAGGCGAAAGGTGTTGGGACCTGTCTTCTCTCCAATGAGGAATGGTCCCTCCCATGTGGCGGCCAACTTGCCGTGTTCATCCTTTCTTTGAAAATCGCGCTTAAGAACCATGTCGCCTTCCACGAGAGGTCGCGGTTTCACGTTCTTGTTGTAAGAGGCAGCAACCTTAGATTTTTCCCGCATGATGCGTTCCATGGCCGCATCACGCCTTGATTCTATCATGTCTAACTGTGCTAGCAGCTCCTCGTGATTGCGCTCCTGACTGTATGCTTGAACGCGAAGGGAGGGTAAGCTCATCTCCTCTAGGGCAACCGCCTCGGAGCCGTAGGTCAAGGCGAATGGAGTTTCGCCCGTGGCTGTCTTGTGAGTGGTGCGATGTTCCCATAGGATGTGTGGAAGCTCGGTGGTCCATGCCCCCTTGGCTTCTCGGAGGCGCCTCTTCAAGCCTTGGAAGATCAGTTTGTTGGAAGCTTCTGCTTGGCCATTGGTTTGTGGATATGCTACGGAGGTCATGGTGCATATGATGCGGTATCGAGCGCAAAAGTTCTCAAACGGTCGACAGTCGAACTGCGTCCCATGATCCGTGATGATCGAATGAGGGATACCAAAACGGATCATGATATTGTTAAACACGAACTTTTGCACCCTCGCATTAGTGATAGTTTCCAGCGGCTCGGCCTCGATCCACTTGGTGAAGTAGTCGACTGCGACCACCAAGTATTTTTTTCCCCAGGGGCGCCGTAGGAAAGGGTCCCAAGAGATCGAGACCCCATCTGGAAAACGGCCATGGTCCCACCACGCTTTGTAGCTCAGAGCTCGGCTGGTGGTGCTTGGAAGCGTGGACTTGGCAAGCATGACATTTGAGGACGACGTCTGATGCGTCTTTTTTGATGGTAGGCCAGTAGGAGCCTTGCAAGAGGACTGTTCTTTCGAGCGATCTAGGGCCGGCATGTGTGGCACACGTTCCCTGGTGTATCGCTTTCAATGTCCATCTGGCCTCCTCCGCTCCGAGGCACTTCAAGTAGGCTCTTGAGAATGACCTTTTGAACAGATGACCGTCCACCATCGAATACCGGGACGCCTTTGGCTTAAGCGCTTTTCGTTCGACCAAGAATTGTGGCGTGACGTCGTGCGCCAGGTACTGGATCAAAGGGGTCCTCCAGTCGGCGACCTCTCCAATGCTCATGGCTTCCTCTTGGGATTCATTTTCTTTGGTGACGACGACGTGTCGGTCCCCCTCGAAGTCCATGGCAGTTGCAAGCTTAGAAAGCGCGTCTGCATGTTAGTTATCTTCTCTTCGGACATGATCGAGTTTCCACGAAGTCAGTTGGGACAAGGAGTCTCGCACCTTGGTAGCCAATATCGCTAGCATCTCATCTTTGATTTCGAACGCCTCGAGCACCTGCTTGACGACCAGGAGAGAGTCGGAGAATATATGCACATCATTTGCCCCTAGGGTGGACAGTATTCGGAGCCCATTGATCAGTGCCTCGTATTCAGCGACATTGTTGGTCTTGATCTCTCTGAACCTCAAAGAGATTTTATGTACTACCCCCTCGGGTGACTCGATGACGATCCTTGCCCCTGAGGCAGTTTTTCCAGCCGCGCCGTCTATTAATAGTCGCCATATTTATTGCGCTCCTCTAAGGGTGCGGCTTCAAGAGAGAATCCCTCGGCGATGAAGTCCGCCAGGACTTGCCCTTTAATGGCTGGCCTTGGGGCATACTCGATGTTGTATTCACTTAGTTCAATTGCCCACTTGGTTAGCCGGCCCGAGGCGTCCATGCCTCTCATGATACTTTTGAGGGGAGGTGTGACAGCACCGTGATGGGGTGTTCTTGAAAGTACGGTCTTAATTTTCTGGCCGCGGAAACCACGGCGAGAACCGCTTTCTCAACAGGAATGTACCTTGTTTCGGCGGGAAGAAGCGCCTTGCTTACATAGTAAACAGGTCGGTCGGAGCCGTCTTGCGCTCTCAGCACCAGGACAGAACTCACGGCTTGCTCGGAGACCGCTAGATACAGGTAGACCCGCTCTCCACCGATCGGGGCGCTTAAGACTGGTGGTTTGCTGAGTTGGTTTGTCAGCAACTGGAAGGCTCTGTCACATTCGGCACCCCACTTGAGCTTTGACGCCGATTTCTTTAGCATTTGGAAGAAGGGAGAGCATTTGTCGGCAGACCGTGGGATAAATCTCCCTAGCGCGGCCATTTTTCCATTGAACGCTTGGATCTCCTTGATAGTCTTCGGCGGTTTCAGGCCGCGGAGGGCCTCGATTTGCTTTGGGTTGGCCTCTATGCCCCTTTTCATGATCATGAACCCGAGGAATTTTCCCGCTTCGACACCGAAGACACACTTGAGTGGGTTGAGCCTTAGGCTTCTCTTTCTTAGTGTTTCAAAGGTTTCCCTCAGGTCTGATAGATGGTCGCTTGCCTTTTTGCTTTTAACTAGCACGTCGTCGACGTACGCTTCTACGTTCCTTCCCATTTGTTCTTTGAAGACTGCATCCACCATTCGTTGATAGGTTGCCCCTGCGTTCTTCAGTCCGAAGGGCATAACTACATAGCAGAAGTTGCCCATAGGGGTCATGAAAGCGGTGAGCTCTTGATCTCCCTCATCCATTCTGATTTGGTGGTACCCGGAGAATATATCTAGAAAACTGAGGCTTCATGGTTGGCGGTCCCGTCTATGAGTTGATCGATGCGGGGAAGAGGTATGCGTCCTTGGGACAGGCCGCATTGAGGCTGGTGAAGTCGATGCACATCCTCTAAGCGCCTCCAGCCTTGCGTACGAAGACTGGATTTGAGAGCCATGTGGGGTATTTCACCTCCCTAATGAATCCGGCCTTGAGAAGGCGGCGCACCTCCTCTTCTATGGCCATTTGCTTCTCTACCGACAGATGTCTTCTTCGTTGCTATATCGGACGCGCCTTGGCTTTGACCGAGAGGCGGTGTTCGGAGACCTTGTGTGGAACACCCGGCATGTCCTCTGGTCCCCACGCGAAGAGGTCTTGGAACTCTCTGAGGAGTGTAAGCAACTTCTGGGCTTCTTCTTCGGGGAGGTGTGCGGAAATACGCACCGTCTTCTTGGGTCGCTCCATGTCTAGAGCGACCGCTACATCTCCTTCGACCGCCTCAGGTATTGGAACTTCACCCCTTGTGTCAACAAGGTCGACTTCGAGGTGCTCGATGGTCGCTTGGTAGCATCCTTTGGCCTCGTTTGGGTTACCTCGGACCCGTTCTGTTTGTCCCCCGTTGGGGAATTTAAGCATTTGGTGACAGGTGGATGCGACCGCTTCAAACGAGACAAGGAAACCGCGTCCGAGTATGGCATTGTATGCTGAAGGGCAGTCCGCCACATGGAACTCTACTGGCCTGGTCTTTGTGACCCCTCCCCCCTTCTCCTATGGTGACCTTGAGTGTGATCGAGCCGAGGACGCGGACTTTGGTTCCAAAAAATCCTACCAGACTGGTGTTGGACGGGTTGAGGTCATGGACGCTCTTTTTCATTCCTTTGAGGGCCGAGTAGAAGAGGATGTCGGCTGAGCTTCCATTATCAACGAGGGCACGGGTGACTTTGAACTTAGCGGTCCTGAACGAAACGACCAATGGATCCTCTGAATTTTCTTCCTTAGCTAGCTCGGATGGTAGGAAGGTGACATCAGTTGACACCTTGCGTTGCACGTTTAAGCAATGGGCTAGGCGGTCTCCTTCTGTTCGGGGACGCTTCATGCCGCTCGCGATAGTTATGATCTCCATCCCATCTTCATCGTTGCGCGGCGGCCTATAGACGGGAGACTGTCTTTGTGGCGATGCAGCCTTGTTTCTTTGGGGCGTTCTTGATCGCTCCTTCCTTGACCTCCTTGCTTTATCTACCTCGGGACTGATGGAATCTTCTCGCATTTCTTAGGAAAGTTCTCGATGTGGTCGCCGCTTCTCGAGGCGGCTTCAAAGATCTCCTGGAGCTAGATATCGGAGGCTTGCCTTGAACTTCCTGCACTGCGTGGTGTCGTGGGTAGTCATTTGATGCCAGTCGCACCACTTTTTCCCATCTTGTGGTTCTTGTGCGGAGGAAGCCTCAGATTTCCTTCCCCCCCTTCGTCTTTCTCTTCCTCTTTCGCGGTCAGTGGAAACACTTCCCATTTTCCATCTCGCTCTGAATATCTGTTGCGATAGTTCCTTCGCTCGGGAGAGCGCCTTCCGCGTCTGGTGTCACCACGCTCCTGCGGTTCGGGCCGCGTGCGGCTTTGCTGATTCCGATCATCAGTGGCTAAGGCCTCTTCTAGAAGTATTGCGCGTCTTACCAACTGATCCAGGTCGGACCATGAAGTTAAGGCGGCTTCCTTTTTTATCAGGGTCCTCTTGAGCTCGATGCTGGTCGTGGAAATCCTAAGGTTGCCCGCGGCTACGACCGAGGAGATGCCTTGTATCTCACATGCGATCGCATTCCATCGATCGTAGAACTCAGCAAGCGATTCCTCCTTCTTTTGTCGGCAATTGATGAGCGCGGACACGGTGAGCTTGCGACGCCTTTGGGAGGCGAATTTCGTGGAGAAGAGCATCGCGAATCGCTCAAAATTCTCAATTATCCCTTCTGGGAGTGAGGTGTACCACGTTCTACATTGACCGCTGAAGGTGACCGGAAACGCCCGACATAGGTCTGAGTCGGACGCGTTGATGAGCTGCATCTTAAGCATGAAGGAGCAAAGGTGGTCCGCGGGATTTGAGGTTCCGCTATACGTCGGGAGTCCCAGGGACAAGAAATTAGGCGGGACTAGGGTCTTGAAGAGTTCCCGCGACAATGGGTTTTGGAGAATAGTGGGGCTCTTGTGCTTCCCATAGGTTGACCGCAAGTGTTCTTCCAAAAACCCAAGGTCTACTTCTTCTACCTCTTGTCCTCCGCCTTCTGTCCGAGCAGGACTATCGAGGACAAGGGCGGTCTTCTGTTTATCTTTGCGAAGTTCCCCTTTTGAGCCTTCTGCGGGGTCTTCTCTTGTCTTCAGAAGTTGGAGAATTTGGGAGCGGCTGTCTTGCATGTTTGCGATCTGCAAGCCTTGATTCTTGACAACCTCCTCGAGCTCCGATTCATCCTCAACCCTCGGCGAGAGGCCTCGAAGGGTGTTGTTTTCTGTCATCCCTTTGAGAGGGGTCTCGAAGTCGTCTCCCATTTTTCACCGCAACCAAGTCGTGGGGCCCCACGGTGGGCGCCAAAATGTTTGTGCTTGGAATGTACCAAGCGGTTAAGTGAAGCTCCACGGGCTCGGGCGGTTTCCAATGGCGGAGAGCGGTCTTCGAAACCTACAGGAAAGGTCCTCAGGGGATTCCTGGGACCTCCTACGATGCCTAAGTTAGAGAGAGGATTGAGAGAATTGTAAATAAGAGAGAGAATGGAGTAGTTGAAGTTACCATAAATGTGATCCTATGGGGGGTATTTATACTAGTTTCGTCCGAGCTATGCGCATTAAATATTATGTCGGGCGCTCTGAGACGCCTCTGGATTCCCCAACATCTTCGTCAGACTTCGTACGTAGGATCCAGAATGTCGGGCGGTCCCTTGACGTCAGATCTGTCCCGTGTCGGGCGGTCCCTTAGTACTAGCATCCTTGGGTCGCCTTTGTTCCTGATCCTCTTTTGGGCCTTGCTTGTTCTTTTGTGGGCCTTGAGTGCTTTCTGGGCTTACGGGCCGCGTGGCTCAATGTGTGACCCAACAGTTGGTTTCGAACTTATTGGACGACTCTGAAGGAGCGTGACCAGGGCAGTGGGCTAGCTATTTTAGTCTTGTGATGTGGTACATCTGGAAATGCAGAAATGATGGGATCTTCAAGGGGGTTAAATTATCAGCATCAACCTTGCATCACTACATCACTGCAAAGGCGAAGACATGGGGACATGGGCAAAAGCTTGGCTTTCAGCGAAAGAAAATGAGCTGCTAGCTGATAGGGGGCATCGGGTGGAAGTGCTAGTAGGGTGGACAGCCCCTCCTGTCGGATGGCATAAAATTAACACTGATGGAGCGGCTCAACACAACCCGGGAATGACAACTACAGGAGGTGTGCTCAGGAATTGCTATGGCTAGGTGGTTTCTGCAGCAAACTGGGGACGGGTACAACACTTATGGCAGAACTTGGGGGATTCTTCAGGTTCTTGAGTTCGCTTGGAAGAAAGGAACGCAGTTCCTGATTCTGGAAACAGACTCCCAATTAGCACTGCAGTTGATTGAGAAAAGAAGGGAACGCTCACCTGTACTCCACGATCTTTGGTACTATTCGGAGATTGTTAGCTAATGTTTGGGTGGTTCGTCTAGTTCATACATATAGCGAAAGGAATATAGTCGCAGACTGACTCTCGAAGCACAATCTCGTCTATCCTTTCGATACGTATGAGCTAGAAGATCCTCCATTGGAGCTATCTTGGAGCTGGATAGGATCTATCAAGAGGACGTTCGACGTGTCAGTTTTTATAGACAAGTGCGACAGCCAGCAATTAGTTGGTGTTAAGTCTGTGATTCTGCAGGTGATCTTTTTATGGTTGGTTTCTTGTTTTAACAGGGCCTTTGCTCTGGTGTTCCTGGCCTTTGGCCTCCCTTTTATAAAAAAAAAATCTCTTAAGAAAATGTAAAGCTCTTGCCAACAACACCAACTCACAGCCATACGCATTCCGAATCATGGTTGTTGTGCTTAGGATTTACATTACACGCAAGCGGCTACAATACAAATATGCCTCGTGTCTTAGGCGACGCTGAAGGAAGTTGCAGCGTTCTCGACAAACTTTCTAGCACCCTTGAACCACCTCTTGTCTCCAGCCTGCGCCTTGCAAATGTAGAGCTTCCCATCTGTCACAGCGGCGCTGATCAGCTGGTGCTTCCCGCCTTCATCTCCGTCGGCAGTCCTCGTCAGCACCGACACAATGTAGTACTGTTTCCCGCCCACCACTGGAGTTGATGTCTCCAGGATGTTGGCCGTCGCAACCTCACCAGACTGGAACCCACCCTGCACCACCATCACCACCACACACACAGATATGTTCCCAAATCAGCTCGACATGGCCTCTTTCGCCTCGATTGTGTCCGAATCATGATTAATGACTTCAAAGACAGACATTCCCAAAATGGGATTAACTGAGAAAGATGAGGGATACCTCGGAATCGGTCTTGCCAAAGTAAGCCTGCTTCCCCAGCAGAAAGTTGACCTACATTTGCAGATAAAAATTCGAAATTCGTTCATCAACTACACAGACACATGAAAGATTTCACTTGGGTCGAGATCAGAGATTGTTTTTTAAGTTAACCTGGGAGAGGAATTCTTCAGGGGCACCGTAGTCGGTGATGGATTTCTTGTCAGTTGGGGTGACCATGACACTGACGTAGCTGTTGGCATCAAAGTTGTCTTCGTATCTCAGCACCTGCCCTGGATACTCCACCTCTTTGCTAGGGTTCCACTTCGCCGGGATGGAAAGCTTGAACCCTTCCCCATTGTAGGGTAAGAAATCCGTGTTCGTCTTTGGCTTCCCAAAGATGTTAGCTAGAAAAGGGGAAAGGAAACAGACATCAAGTTGTGACAAACCGTACACAAGATTGTTGTTAACTTCAAAGGGTTTGGTTGGATCAATTACCGGATTCACCGTAGGCGGCGTCCGCGGGGGCGGTTTTGGAGCTGATGGCAGCGGCTCCGGCCAGGAGGGTGAGGGCCAACCTACGGGACAAGGCGCCGTCGTTGGTGGTGTCCTGATCATCCAGCTGCTGCTGCTGCTGTTTCTGGGCCCGGCAGACGAGCCTGGCGGCAGCGGGAGAGGGAAGTCGCTGAGCGGCGGAGGAAGCGGCCGCTGACCTGGTGGAAGTTGTGAGGGCGGCGTGGTGCAGGAAGCATGCTGCTGTGGAAGCCATTTGAAACTGTTGCTCTGTTTTTGGCCTTCTCTCCCTTTTTTCTTATTTGTCTTCTGGAACTTCCAGGTAGTGGCGCCTATGACTATGAGTAAGGTTGTGTGGAAACTGGAGAATGAAGGGTGGGGAATTAGTGACTGCCAATTGGCTGGTTTTGGATATTGGGATGATGAGGAGGATTAGATTTTGTGGTGATTGTGATAAGGCTGATGAGGCTCTCACTGGCGACACCTGGCATCTGGAAGGGCCCAAGCCAATGGTTTTGGTTCGATCCCTCTTTCGTGCGCCAAAGCCAATTCTGGAGGAGGGGAAGGGAGGGTTCTCGACGTTTCAAAGTTTTTATGGTTCACCAACCTCGCTAATTAGCTCAAAGTCACAAAATCAAGTTTGTTATGGGCCAATTTGACGAAAGAAAAATAATGTATAATATCAAACAAGTATGTATAATTATTAGATTTGATTATTTCGATTGTATTTTCACTTTTTTTCATCTCATATATTATATATTACTGATAGGAGTAGGACCATACTGAAGCGAGTATATCGTAGTCTAGTCGTTGGTCACATGAATTTTATAAATATTTAAGAAAAATGAAAGCAAAACACATATGTATAGTCATAATTAGGGATGTACATGGGTCGGGTGGTCCGGGTTTAGCCATTTTAATCACCCAACCTATGCACTACGGTTTGGGAAATACTAAACCCAAACCCACCCAAAAAATTTTAAACCCTACAGTTTGTTTCTAATTGGGTTGGGTCGGATTGGCGATATTTAAGTAAAAATCTAACCCAACACAAAATGTGTAATTATTCTACACAACAATTTTTTTATAACTATATAAAATTTCAAAGGAATAAACCAAGGTGAAAGGTATCAAAATTCACAAATGTTGTTTAAATTTTAATAAAATGTGATTTATTCAACATATGTCTAGTTTTTTGCACCACATTTGTTGAAATAGGCTAAAAATATTGTAAACGAACGCATCCATAATATGTTATTCTATTAAAATTGTAAAAAAAAAGGATACACAGCTATATAAAATCTATGTCTTAACTTTAAGCAGAAAAATGCATTAGATTCGGGAGACCATGAGGGGAAAACATGGCGAAATATGTTAATTTTCTCATAATTATGGCTATATACGACTAATTTTTTTTGGCTACGAACTCATACCAATAGTTGGAACGCGGGTTAGATCGGGTTCTACGGGTTGTGTAATTAAAAATCCAAACTCAACCCAAAAGAGGTGGGTTGTACAAAAGAAAACCCTCATCCAACCCAAAACCATAGTTTTAGCAATAAATTCGGGTGGGTTGAGTCGGATTGAACGGGTGGGTCGGTTTGCGGGTGTGTTTGTTCACCCCTAGCCATAACTATCAACATTTTGACAATAAAAGCCAATTTTTCAGAAATACACAAAATCCAATTTCGTCCAAAACTTTAACGAAGTCATTTTACATGATGACTAGACTAACGTTTTTGTTGACTTGGCGACACTTAATAAAAATATTGTCATGTGGAATTAATTGCATAGCCTTAACTACTAACTATGACAATAGTAGCCAATTTTTTAGAAATACACAAAATGTCCAGATTTTGAAATTTCTTAACATATTTAGCCACTTTTGTTAAAAAATTTAACGTCATTAGAGATTCTATCGGTTAAATTAACAGGACATTGACGAGGATGTCATCTTGACGCACATATCAGCCACAACTCGATATGTCATGCCACGTGAGGCGACTTGGAGGTGGATGGCTCTTCCATTTGATTTTATTTATCTTTTATTTTATTATAGTTATTGCTATGCAAGTGAATTTATTTAGTTCCACCTGACAATGTTTTTTTATTAAGATTTGTCAAGTCAACAAAAATGTTAGTCCAATCAGCATCTAAAATTACTCCGTTAAAATTTTGTACGAAATTGAACATTTTGTGTATTACTGAGAAATTTGCTATTATTGTCACAGAGTTGATAGTTATGGCTTTACATGTATATTAAGTCATTAAAGTATGATGTGGTGTCCACGTGGCGTCAAGCTGGCATCCTCGTCAGCATGTTGTTAATGTAACTGATGTAACCTCTAATGGCGTTGAAGTTTTTTACGGAGGTGGCTAAATTTGTCAAACATGTTTCTAAAATCTGGACATTTTGTGTAGAATTTGGCTATTATTGTCAAAAAGTCAATAGTTATGGCTATGCAAGTGAATTTTACCAGAAATAATGAAGACTTTTTGACCGGATCAAACCAGACCACAACCAACCGAATGCAATGTTGGTCAAGTCCTTGATCAAAAAATGTCTTTCACTATTGGACCGCAGTTCTCATGGATTTAGTCTAGGGGTGGCTATACGGTACGATCAGGTTAAATTGACCCAAATTGATCCAGTCCAGTCCGGTCTTTTTGAAAATATAAGGACAAAAGATTGGATTGGATACAGTCCGGTCTTGATCCGATCCGGTCCCAATTCGGTCTTGACTTTATATTGACCTTGTGGGGATTTGAGTGGCCTAAGGCCTGAAAGGGTGAGGAGTTGGTTAAGTTTTGTACTAAGTGCAAAGGTTTGTGACCGTTTATGCAAATTACCTTAAGTTTTGGGTCTTGAACTCTCTTATTCGGTCTTTATCCAGTTTTCGATCCGGTCCCGAACGGTTTTTTACCTCAAATCTAAGCCCAAAGATTGGATTGGATTGTTTACTATTCGGTCTCGGTCCGGGTTATACGGTTCGGTTTCAGGTAAAACCAAAATGCTCGGACCAAATAGCCAACCCTAATTTAGTCTGTTTGGGTTGGACCAAACCATTGCAAACCTCTAATAGGGAGTACTCAAGTGATTTTATAAGCCTCGCTCATCCTTGGTAATTAAAGTTGTTTGAGTTGAGCAATAAGTATTACGGTGTTTGATAACACTCAAAATGATGTTATCTAACATCTATTCTGGAGGTATTATTGTGCTAAATCAACATGTCTAGGCCACATTGCTAGCTATTTTATGTCAATATTCATTCCTATTCATCAACCATTAGTTTTAGCATTAGTTTGATTGCTATGAAAGGTTCCACTGGGAAACAACCCCACTTTGTCGTATTTTATTCTTGATTGGTGTTTGCAATGGTACTCCAGGTCTTGTACTCGTCTAACATCAATCGAGGATCGACTTGGACTTCATCCGAGCACGTTCGCATCACATAAGGAGAAAGAAGGGAAGAAATTACGCAGGTCACGATTATGAACTTTAGCTTATGACTGTAAACTCCAAAAGGCAACGAAAAAATGGGCCTAACGTCTTGCGGCCAAATTCGTGGTCAAGGAGGATTTTGATCGCGAAAAATATCATTTTCGTGACTTCCAAGTTCAAGACGTCCATCTCGGTCCTCGAGAATGAAATCAAGATGCAAAGTATTCGTCGATTCGGCGGCATTTACACGTCACAACCAAGGTTACAACCGTGGCTATCGACAACTCATCATTTCTTCAAATGTCACGACGTGACATCCATTGGGTCATTTTCAGGAGATCGTGGTGTGCTCCATCAACCCTATAAATACCCCTTTGCTGCAATAGAAAGGGGAGAGTCGCCATAGAGTGCGAAAATAGGATTTGGGCATTTTTAGTGAGAGAAAACACATTATAGGAGCTAAGGAAGGAAAAATTCTTCCATGATCCAAGGATGAGGGTGCAATCCAAGAAGAAGATTATTTCAATCTCTTCCTCTCTCTTTAGTTTGTGTTTAATTTCTCTCTAGTTTGTAGCTAGGTTTTGTTGATTGAATGATATCTATGACTTGGTTTATGTTCATCTAGTGTTGTTAACACTTCTAGTCGTGGTTTAGATGCATGATTTGGTATGTTGCTTGAATTAACATATCCAACTACTAGAAAGACTTGGTCCTAGACAACTATCTTAGCTCTTGTGACTTCCCAACTACTTAGTTGATTGTTTAGTTAATTGGTTAGGTTAATTCTTAAACCAACTTTCTATTGGTCCAGAAATAACACTAAAAAATTAAACAATTCCAAAAATACCACTCTCTTCAAAAAATCTATCTATCTATCTATCTATACATAATATTATAGCAATTCAAAAGTAGTTTGTTGTACATAAGCATTTAGAGAATTTACAAGGTGCCATGGTGGACACTTTTTTTACAAACAAAAAAGTTAGTTAATGATCAATTAATGTAGCTATATCTATCTTTTTTTAATATTTCCTTTTTATTTTAATGCTCATTTATGTAGCTATCTCTATCTTCTTTTAATATTTTTTTATTCAATAATTGTATTTTTCGATATATATGTGTCGTAGTAGTATACTAATGTTTCGAGAATGACTTATATTGTAATGCTTCAAAAAATATATGTGATTAAATCAGATCAATTAATTTTTCTTTTTATTTTTATTAGAACTTAATATAGGTTATATTTCGATACAAAAATAAATTAAACACACAGATAAGTAATAAAAAATTTTATAAACAAAATATAATGAAGAAAGTTTAGATAATCAACATTTAATAATCAATTGAATTTGAAAAACCAACTATATAATTTTATGTTTTGGTTATCAAACACTATCTCTTTCTAATGTTTGTATCTATCAACGAAACAATTATTAAATAGCAAAAAATTACATGCAACAATTAATGTAGCTAAATCTATGCAACAAATTACATGCACAATCTTAGGGGTTAAGCTCTATGATTTAGATAACTAAGACCTAGGGTTCACTCATTAAGGGTTAGGGTATAGTATCATGCCCACAAATCCGGTTAACTCGTGGTCCATATAGCATTTTCTTACTTAGAGTATAGTATCATGCTTAGATATTGACAATAGATGTGGAATTACACCAACAAAATGAAGATATTAGTATAAGTAATGGAATTTTTATCTCAAAACAAACACCAAAGATAAATAAATTTGAGCAAATGCATATTTGATAAGTTAGAAAATTATTCAACAATGGACCATGTTAAGATTAGAACCCTCGACAGTGTGTGCGTATCTTGGACCGAGATTCTAAACCAACATCTAAACAATGACCATGAGTTGAGGGTGAGTCTATATTAAACTTCAGGAATTAACAATTGGTACATATTGTATAAGATATTAAATTGAGTGTCTTGATAGACTAATATGATCTTACACTAAGACAATAAATTTTCAATTGGGATGACCAAATTTATGTAATATTGAAGTACCTTCATAAAAAAATTCTAACTAAGTTGTCGTCATCTGAGCAACATCATTGGTTGAGAGTTCGTCCAAACTCGAGATTCATTGAATGACATATATTGTATAAGACAAAAAAAATTGAGTATCGTTATTGACAAATCTTGACATAAGATTCTATATGAGACGTGATATATCTTTGTGACATGATTTATGATCAGTGAATCGAAGCATCATAAGTGAATGTGCTAAGTATTGAGAATTTTTAATTTATAGATGCACCGCATACTCACAAGTTGTCGTCATCTGAGCAACATCATTGGTTGAGAGTTCGTCCAAACTCGAGATTCATTGAATGACAT